TCTTTACCCATCAAGGCCGGGTCAGGACCCAGTTTGTTCCGGGCTGACCCGGTTCGTTTAAGAAACTATAAATACCTTTTTAGGGTTTTACCCTAAAGACTAAGTTTATTCTCCCTAATTTCTTTGCCTCTTTTGTGAAAGACTCCTCTTAAGAAGAGAAATATCTCCCTTTTGAGTTTTAATCAAGAGAGAATCAGAGATTTCTGTGTTTAAAGCTGCAAATCCTTCAGTATCCATCTTCTCCATCTTCATTTCTCATCATTAATCATGCCAATTTTCTCAACTTGCAAAAGTTTAAGAGAGATTATTATGATTAGTGAGTAGTCACCTTATGAGGTTCTAGATGTGTAGATTAGGGTGCTAAAGTGTTAGATTAGGAGTGCTTAGGGCTAGATTCATTGATTCATCTCTCTAAACAGCTGTTCTCTAGGCTTGATCCTTGGACATCACTTGTGATCTAGATTCCTGAAAGTGTTTGATGAAATTCCTGAAAGAGCTGTATTAGAGATTTAAGCATTTGTTGCATGATGATGTCTTGTTATTTTCTTGAATGATCTTTTAGAAATGTTTCTTAATGCTCATTGATTCATATTTCACAAATGATTATTTGGTTTGAAAATGGATTAGTGTAGAGGTTAATGCCTTCATGAGAGGATTAATCGAGATTAGAGTTCTAATTCATTTGAATCATGTCTCATCATTGTAATTAGCATTTCTAGTTTAGCACCAAAGCACCCTAGCCAACTATCATGTCTAGAGTCTCATGCTTCCATCATCTCATATTCACATCACTTATCATTTGCTTAGTTCTTGTTTGATTATTTGTTTAGTCATTAATCTTGTTTTAAGTTTTTAGTTGTCATTAGTCAATCTAAACCTCACTTGTTCACTTGAATTGAGAAACTGATCACATAGCTTAGTGTCTATCTCCAAATTCTTGGATTGACAACCTCTTTTGTGCTACTTTGACAAGGGGATTGATAGCCCTAAGACCATAAAAAGTCTTGTCTATCAGCATTGTGGATACTCATACATATTTGAGCTAGAAACCCATTTTTACCACTCTTTTCCTTAGCTTAAATAGCTGATTCCACACCTTGGATCAGTTCCCACACCTTGAACCCAAACTTCTTTCAAGCCAAATGATTTTTGAGTGTTGAGAGGCCATCTTGGATCAAACTTAGCAGAAAGTGTTAGGTTTAGAGCGACAAGGGCAAGTCTCAAAGTGTCTATTTCCATCACCCAGTAACTATTAGGTCTAGGCTATGAATAAGTGTGGGAATGAGATTTCTTTGAGTGAGAATATTGAGAGAAAAGTTTTGATAGAGAAAAGAGAAAGAGTTGTGAATATGGGAGCGATGAGAATAAATGGTTTTAAAAGAAAAGAAAAAGGTTTTGGGTCTTGTGTTTTGAAAGAAAAGAAAGCTCTAAGCGTTTTAAAAAGAAAAAGCTTATAACCTCTAAGTGTAAATAAAAGAAAAGAAGCCAAAGGCCCATGTGTCTAAAAAGAGTGAGAGGCTAGATGAATCAAATGTGAAAAGAGCTGAGTGTAAAAGAAAGATCCTAGAACCAAAGTTTTTAAATGAAAAGAAAACCCTTTTTGAGAGATGAAAATGAGTGAGAAGAGAGTTGAGGGATTCAGTGTGAGAGTGTGAGCTAGAGGCATCTTAGGTAAGGGGGTGAGTTGAGTCTTGTCCTTGTATTCATCGGTTGGTCCTTACCATAGCCTTCTGCCAAAGTTTGATCATTCACTGAGAGATCCCCTAGTTGCATTGAACCTGCTTGTGCGTTGAATGAGATCATTTTAGTCTCATAACCTCATCCTCCAAACCTTTCTTGTTTGAACATGCATCACTTGATTCACATAATAAAGAGCTTAATGAATGTTAAAGAGCTCGGGGATATGATTGCTTGTGGAGATCATTGTTTGATCTTAATGCATCAAAGTAAAATCTTGCATAGCATTTCAGAATTAGCAACTTGGACCCTGAAATTGACTTTTTTTTATTACTTCTCTCTTCCCATAGGAAATGTGAACTCCCAAACACCAACCTTCTCTCTCATTTGATCTTTTTGCTTGAGGACAAGCAAAAGACAAGTGTGGGGGAGTTGATATGTTCATAAAATCCATCATTTAGCTTGCATGTTTTAGTCCAAAACCATGTCTTATTTCATGCATTTTAGGTCTTTAGGTATTGTTTTAGGACTTAGGGGTTTGCATTAGGTCCAAGTGAGTCTTTGCATGGTTTGGAGTCTTAAACAGGTACTTTGGAGGCTTTTGGAGTAGAAAAGGTAAGACCAAGTGATGCAATGAAGTTTGGAAGATCAGAAATGGTAGAAATGGTGTTTTTGGATCTATCGGCAAAAGCCATGTACCGCAGGCTACAATTCTTGGCTAAAATGCTTACCGGGTGAAGTTTCCATCAGCCAAAAGCTGTACCAGATGGAGGTTCAATCGGCTGAATTCTATGTCGAGACAAGTTGGGTTTTACCGGCTAAAAGCCTTACCGCGACATCAGTTTATCGGCAAAACCCGCACATCAGTACATGAGCTCTCGGCTAAAACCTGTTTATGCCGATACGCGCCAAAAATTGCCTGTCCGAGGAAGCTTACAGTCCGATTCAGTTGTCAAGGTCTTGATCTGGGAGATATCATTTCCGGAGTGAACGCAGGTTATGAAGCCCTTTCCCGGAGCATTCCGGTAAACTTCAAAGATTGACCGTCCGGGAGACCTTAATTTCCCCGAAAGCAATCAGGGTCCTCACCAAAAGTATAGCTGGTTGAGTCATCTTTCCTGTGGACTTGATCTTGTGTCATTTAGAGTTTTGAACAGAAAGTTATAATGGTTTAAGTGTGGAGATGTCCATGGCACCAAGATGAACACCGGGCAAACTAACTTCAGTGTTTGGCTTATTTTGGGGATTCTGCTACACTGAGTTGACTAACGTGGCCCACAATGAGATAATGCACCCTGGTGCTAGGTGAGCCTTGCACCAACCCTTTTGCATGTTCAGCACCGGCCACAACATCAGAGAAGAGCACCTCGGTGTAATCTGCATTATTTCAACCCATTCATCAACACCGACTTTCACACCGGCCATATTGACCTCGGTGCTAGCTCACACGTTCCAGCCATCTTCCTAGCACCGAGCAGCTTCATCTAGGTGTGCTCCCCAGTGTAAATCTCACAGAAGTTCTGCTCATTTTACACCGGCATCTACACCTGGGCAATGAACCCCGGTGCTGATCCCATCGTCCGAGTTTTCTCCACAACCCCGAGGAAAACACCGGCCATTTGCATCCCGGTGTCAGCACACACGCCAAGAAAAGCTTCAGGACATCACAACATCGGCCAGAGCACCGGACAAACACACCCCGGTGTAAAGTTGTTTGCGTTTTTATGAGTTTTTCTTTCCGGGTCAATACCCGGTTTTCCCGGGTTAACTCGGAAATTAGGAGACAACTATAAATACTTTTTAGGGTTTTACCCTTAGGATTATCTCATTTTCCCTTAAGCTTTCTGTCTGTTTTGTGAAAGAACATACTTTGAGAGAGATATCTCCATTTTCTTCTTGAATCAAGAGAGTTTAAGAGCTTTAATCACCATTTTCTCATCGTCTTCTATCATTTCTCATCATCTAATCATGCTTGTTTACCCATCTTGCAAAAGATCAAGGGAGATAATCATGATTAGTGAGTAGATCCATCTTAAGGTCTTAGATGAGTAGGTTAGGGTGCGAAGATGTTAGATTAGAGAGTTTAGGGGTTAGATCTTGCATCATCCATTCTCTAAAAAGTTGTTCTCAAAGCTAGATATTTGCACATCACTCTGGTCTAGATCTTAGGCATTTCCTCACCCAAAAAGTGTTTGTAAAAATGCCTGAACCAAGCTTGTTAGAGGTTTAAGTGTTTTTCACCATGAGAGTGATTGTTTAATGCTTAAATGACTTATTAGACTGATTCTTAATGCTTGATGATTCATAGTTCTCAAATGAAAATTTGGTATGAAAGACGATTAGCATAGGAGTTTAATGCCTTCATGAGAGGATTATCTTACTTAAGAGTCTATGTTGAATGGTGTTGCTTGATTGTTTATTCATTTAACTCTCTGGTTTAGCATTAAAGCACCCTAACTATCTATCTTGTCTAAGGATTTCCCTCATCATATTCATATAATCATCACCTGTTTATTTTTAGTGCTTGCCTTAGTTTACTTTAATCACTTGTCATTGTCTTGCTTAGATTTCATTTTAAGCACTTGTCACAAACCAAACTCATCATATTGCTTGGATTAAGAAACTATCAGCATGAACTAGTGTCTACCCACATATTTGGATTGATAACCCTTTGTATTACATTGACAAGGGATTAATAACCCCATCTAAAGGATTGAAAACCTCTAGTTATCAACTTCCTAAGCTGCTTTTAAATTGAGCTATTGGAATAAGGATATTACTTAGTTCATATGATTGATTTGGTGAATGAGATAACAAATTTTTTCATAATCCTATATAATTCATAACCTTTTACTTAACATCTATAAAAACATGCATGAACTTACGAATATGCATGATTTTTTTAAAAATTTCTAATTTTTATCAGAATGATTACATTTCATATAAAATAAGATAACCTATAAAAAACAGTTTCTGAAATAGTAAATAACCAGTCAGATATAAAGGTTTCAAATTTGATATTTTGATTTTACGATGAAACTACAACGATTTGGCCTTTTCTTCGCTAAATCGTCGTAATATTACAACGAAGTGTCAGAAACACGTCGTAATAGTCATATCAATATACTTAACCACAAATAAACATACACTATTATCAACAAGTCGGAAAAAAAAACATACACTATTGAATTAGGGTTTAGGGTTTGCATAAACATCGTAAAAACGTCGTAATGTTCTAAAGTAAGAAAAAAAAATTCTATGTTATACAAAACCAACTTTATACATATATTTTAGAAATATATTATAGTAAGAGACCATGATAATCATTCAGATTCATCTTCTTGTTGTTCTTCATCATCACCTTCGTCTTCCAAATCCTCATCATCATCCTCGCTTTTATCAAATTCATCTGAATCACCTTCTTCTTCTGTATCATCAGGGAGATCTTCAACTTTCCTATTCTGAGGGTCAATTAAGAAAATATTCTCATCAATATCTGGTTCAGTCCGGTCTACACAAGATTCTTGTTGCAGTGGAAGGTCCTCAACCCCTACAAGCTTTCTCCTGGGAGCCACTTTAATAACAGTTAACCATGAGATCCCTGTAGCTCGAACTTGGGGATATGGCACAAATGTGACTTGTTCCGCTTGAGAAGCTAATATAAAAGGCTCAAAGTTGTTGTACCGTCGTGATTGGTTCACATCGACAACTCAAAATTTGTTTAATCGTACTCATCTTCCAACGGTTGGATCAAACCAATCACATTTAAAGAGAACAATTTTCATCCTTAACAAACCAGGATACTCCACTTCAATTATTTCTTGCAAAACTCCATAATAATCTATTTCACCCCTCACACAAACTCCGTATTTAGTTGTTGCTCGCTTGGCGCCGTGAGCGTATGTATGAAAGACATAACCCTAAGTGAATTACATGGATGCAGTCGTTATTTTGGCCATCGCACCTAGGAGTAACTCATGGAACCATATTGGATATGCATCTGGATCATTCGGGTCCACCTAATAACAAAAAATTAATTTTGCTTTATAAATTTGTATATGTCATATTGTTACATGCATCCTATAACAACAATACACATATTATACTTACTTGTGCTTTCATCCACTGCGCAAAGTGTTAATCTTTACAATCATTGATTTCAGTTTCAGAAACACTAGAGATGCATTCTTTTACCTCATCAACGAATATGCTGCCAAAAATACATATATAATGTTAAAAGAACTTAATTAATATCTCATTTAATATATATATATATATATATACATTAGTTAATATATTATACCTCTCGTACCACGCCAACTCTTTGCAGTTTAGCAGGATGTACGTTTGTGCGTTGTGATAATCGTTTTCATTAGACCACCAAACTTCCTTTACTTTTTCACTAAGACGTCTGATCGGCGAGAATATGTCAGGTACACCCTCAACTGCATATGTTTGGCCAACTCCGCCATCGTCATATTGACGGGTAGCTATTTTGCGCGTTCATGGTCCAAAATAGTACGAAGTCTCTTTAGTTAAGCTGCCCGCCACAATTGAACCTTGCACTCTCGCTAGGTTTTTGGCTTTACCCTTAAGATGCTTCATGAAATGCTCAAATGGATACATCCCCTGTACTGAACTGGTCCACCTAGCTCTGCTTCGTGAAGGAGATGAACGGGGAGGTGTTCTATAACATCAAAAAATGATGGCGGGAATATCTTTTCCAAATAGCACAATAAGATTGGAATATTCACTGCCAGTTGTGCTATTAGATCATCTGATAATGTTCGTGTACTAAGATCCCGGAAAAAAGCGCCAATACCTGCATAAATACATATATAGATAATATTAAAATTTTAATATGTACATATTATAATAAGAATAGAGTGTAGTTAATAGTAGTAATAATATACCTCCAACAGTTTCATGGACATTTTTGGGCAAGAGTTCAGCAAATGTAAATGAGAGTAATCGTTACATAAACACGTGGCATTCATGACTTTTCATCCCTGAAAAATTGACCCCCTTCTCAACAGATTTAGAAAGATTAGAAACATACCCATCAGAAAAATTAACGTCAGATGAAACTCATTTGAACAATGCTGACTTCTGTTCTACGCTCAACCGTCATACAGGAACCGATGCTTTCCCGTTTCTCAGTATATACAATTCAGTTCTGTTGCATAAATCAGGCAAGTCCAATCTTGACTTACCATTGTCTTTTGTTCTTCCCGGCACGTTCATAACTGTATGCATGATGTTGTCAAAAAAGTTTTTCTCAATGTGCATGACATCAAAATCGTGTTTGAGCAGATGATCTTTCCAATACGGAAATTGCCAAAAAACTACTTTTCTTCTGCCATTTATGATGAACTCCGTAACCTTCAGGCATATTTGTTGGAGTGTGCCAGTTTCCCCCACAAGATATCGTTTCCTCTGCCCCCCATGCTCGATTTGGGCTTCAATATCAGCTCCTGTTAAATATACGGGTAGAGGGACACATACACTTTTATTCTTCCTAAATAACCTCTTGTTCCTCCGATATGTATGGTTTTCCGGTAAAAACCTGCGTTGACAATCAATCCAACATGTTTTTCTACCATGTTTTAGCGGAAAGGCATCAGTTCGATCAAGACAATAAGGAAACGATAACCTCCCATGTGTAGTCCATCCGGATAGCATACCGTATGCGGGAAAATCGCTTATTGTCCACATAAACACAGCCCGCATAGTAAAATGTTTCCCCCTCAAACAATCATATGTTCGAACACCGGTATACCACATCTGATTCAACTCATGTATGAGTGGCTGCATAAATACATCTAGAGATCGCTACGGATGACTGGGACCTGGGACCAAAACATTCAGAAAAAGAAATTCCTTTTGCATGCACATATCTGGGAAAAGTTTATAAGGGGTCAGGATTACTGGCCATAAAGAATATTGTCTACCAGACATACCGAATGGACTAAAACTGTCAGTGCACAGACCAAGATAGACATTTCGTTTCAACTTAACAAAATCTAGGTATACCGTATTGAAGTGTTTCCACGCTTTTGCATCTGATGGATGAGTAACTTCTCCATTTACTTGTGTATGTTCTGCATGTCATCTCATCGATGCAACTGTCCTTTCAGATTGATTGAGGCGTTTCAACCTATCAGTTATAGGAAGATACCACATCCGTTGGTACGGTATCTTTTTTCGCCCAGAATTTTGCGGCCTGTATCTTGGTTTTTGGCAAATCGACATTCCTGCAGCTTATCATCATATTTTCAGAAAATAATACAATTATCAACACATACATCTATAATCTCAGAAGGTAGACCAAGACTAAATATCAACTTCTGTATTTCATAGTATGTTGCCTCTGCCAAATTATCCTCCGGGAGATACTCTTTCATAAGATCATCCCAATCATCCCTGCAAACCTCAGATAAGTTATGATCTGTTTTAATTGACATCATCCTATCTGCCAACGATAATTTAGACTGACCTTCTCTACATCCTTCATAGATTGGCTGATTAGCATTGTCTAACAATTCATAAAATCGTTTAGCATCTACATTGGGTTCCTCAACAGCATTACCAGTATGCGTTTCATGAAATACATCTGTAACCATCTCATGCATCCTATCATGATCTGGACCTTGATCAGATTGATACTAATTAGGCTGATAATCATTTGATTCATCAAATTCAACATGACTTTGATAATTAGTACTACTACCAGCATTCGCATGAGCATTACTACCATATCCTTCTCCATGTTGATACCAAATAAAATATTTCGGCATAAACCCTCTATTTAATAAATGCATCCACACTGTTTGGATTAGAGTATACCATGCATTTTTGCATTTCAGACAAGGACAAAACATCTTCCCGCTTTCTTTAGTTCTCTCCATATTTGTGGTCTGATACATGAATATTTCCAACCCGTTTTTGAATTCTTCTGTAAGCGCCCCTTCTGAATCTTTACGCATATACATCCAGCTTCTTAGCTCGTATATAGACATGTTGAAAAAAATTCAAAAAACTCTCTTTATATTTTTTTTACTGTTGTTATTGTGTTAATGATGTTGTTGTGAATAAGAGAGGAAACGAATATGTATTTATAACAAATTTTTCTCTTTATGACGTTTTTACGACGGTTTTTTACATCGATTTTACATCAAAATACTCAAATTACAACGTTTTTACATTGATTATATTTCAACGACCACAGGTAGGTGAACATGTTTAAAAGGTATTTCACCAACATTATATTTCGATGTAAAAATGTCGTAAGTTTACATCGAAAACTTTACGACGTAAAAACGTCATACTTTTACATCGTTTTTACGACGATTTGGCATCAACAATAAATGCTAACTTTAATCGAAGGAAAATCGTTGTAATGTGTCGTGAATATTACGACGAATTTATGATGACAATTTTCTACGACAATTGTACGACGATTAGTTTTTTGGTCGTCAAATTGTCGAAAAACCGTCGTAAATTTGCGACGATTTTATAACCGTCGTAATGGATCGTGAAAAATCGATTGTTCTCTTGTAGTGGCCATACTCATCACCAAATGAACCAAACTCAAGTGTCAACCTTCACAAGAATCCCTAACTCCAGCCTTTTGACATTCATTTAAGTATCATGTGGATCATGCTCATGCAAATCATGTGAACTCATTTGGCTTGGGACAGGGTTATGAGAATAAAATGATCTCATTCCATGCTTGTGGGTTCAATGTAGCTCAAAGGATCACTCAAGAACGAATAAACTTTAATAGAAGGCTAAGGGTAAAAGGCAACCGATGCATACAAGAACAGATTCTCATCTACCCAATGGCCCAAATTGGTCTTTCACCTTAACTCTAAACCCATGAAGAACATGCCTATACTACCCTTTTCCAAGGCTTTCATTGCCTTCTCAACCCACTTCTCACTCACTTTCATTCTTTTTCTCACCAGGGGATTCAACTTTTATTTTCAAACTCTGGTTTTGGGGTCCAAACTTCACACTTAGCTCTTTCTCACATGCACTATCTAGCCATTTTGGCTTCTTTTATTTTCTTTCTTCTTCAGTTAGAGGCTAGACTTTTCTTTTAAACACAAGAGCTTTATTTCCTTGAACACCAGACCCCAAACCGATTTCTTTTCATTTCTATCCCCTGGTTCTCATCTCAATCTCTCTCTTTTCCACTCAATGATTCCCAAGATCTGTTCCTAGCCTACTCTAGACTCATGATGCAGAGCTAGATCTACATGAAAGACTACTCTTGTCGCCCTAAAGCCAACACTTTCTGTCAAGTTTATTTAGAACAAGGTCTCACATCGCTCACTAGAGTGTTTCAGGCTTCAAAGATGGTTTGGTTAAAGGCATGGAAGTATCTCAATATGAGAGAACAACTATTTGAGCTAGCAAAGAGTGGCAAAAAAGGATAAGAGAGGTCAAATATTTTGTGGTACCCATGAATTCACAATGATATGCACAAACATGATAATTGGATTGTTAAATTATGGTTTTCACTTAAGCAGGACTGGAGTTAATCACAACTTGATCCAATTAACACAGAAGCATTGAGACACTAGTTCCAAGCATGGTTCACCCTTGATTTTATACCAGTTTTGCAAGCAATAGAGAATTAATAACTAGGGCCATGAACCAAATTCTTAAGATGATGCTCTCTCAAATAAACCTATTATTACTCCCATGCAAATGATGCAACCTAAATGAACATTTTTTTTGTTGTGAAAATTTTTCAGATTTTTCAATTTTTTTGGTTTTTATATCAGAAAAACAAAGAGGTTGAATGCATTGGGAGCTCATATTTCCTTTATAAGAAGTGACCACTAAGAGAATTCAAGTTCATGCTCAATATGCAATGAAAGACCATACTCAGATTCAATCAACACAACAAGAAATCTCCACAAGTTCTCTTATTCCTCAACTCTTTGACATTCATTAAGCTTTTAACCAAGTGAATCAAATGATGCAATGTCTAAACAAGCTGGTTTGGCTAGGGTGAGGTTATGAGACTAAAATGATCTCATCAGCGCCTGAGTGGGTTTAATGCAGCAAAGGATCTCTCTATGAATGACCAAACTTTGGCAGAATGCTAAAGGTAAAAGGCAACCTATGCATACAAGGGCAAGAACTCATCCCACCCCACACTCTACTCAAAGTTTCCTCACTTGCTTACTTTTCCCACTCTTTCCTCTCTCACTAGGGGATTCTCTTTTTCTTTCAATGCACAAGTCTTGGAGTTCAAACTTTCATAGCTCTTTTTCACTTCTTTTGTAACCTCTAGCCTCTTTTTTTTTTTCTTTCTTTTTAAAACATTTGAGCTCTTTGGCTTCTTTTCTGTTCTTTTCACTTAGAGGCTAGACTCTTTCTTTTCAAAACACTAGATCTCACTTTCTTTGACTCAAAACTCCAAGACTGATTTCTTTTCTTTATCTATCCCCTAGTTCTCACCACTCTCCTTTTATTTCCACTCATCTCTCCTTTTCCACTCACCAACAAGTATTCCCCCACACTTAAATCTCGCCAAATCTCTCAGCTCCTTGATGATGGAACTTACTCACAATGAGACTTGCCCTTGTCGCCCTAAACCTAACACTTTCTGCTAAGTTTGGTCCAAGGTGGCCTGTCAAGCACACACAAACATTTGGCTTGAAAGAAGGATGGGTTCAGGGTGAGGAAAACTGATCTATTATGCAGATTCAGTTATTTGAGCTAAGGAAGAGGATGGTAAAAACAGGATTATAGCTCAAATATGTATAATGGTATCCACAAGCTTATTTAAACAATGCACCAAATGATAATTTCAAGTCAAGTTCAGGGTTTTCACTTATTAGAGTTGAGTTCAATTCAAACTTGCTTCTCAGATTTAGATCATTTCAAGCCTTGCAAGCATAGAAGTCATTTCACAAGCATATTTAGTCCAAATTCTCAAAGTGATTTACTCTGAAGGAAAACCTATCATTGCTCCATTGCATCATGCAACCTATATGATGCAACTAGACTCAAGCCTAAAAAGAATGAGAATGCAACTACATAAGCATTTTTTTTTGTGATTTTCAGTTTTTTCAAATTTTTTTTTTTATATATGCACTTAGATGAAATGCATCTACATGAATGCATGCAAGAATGTGACTCAAGACTCAAAGTATAAAATAAGAACAGAGAAAACATGATTAGTGAAAGATGAAACTCCTCCCCCACACTTAAATAACACAGTCCCTTGTGTTATAAAAGCATGAAGGAGAAGTGCAAAGCAAAATCACAAAAATGCAAAGAGAAAACAAGCTAACTACATGCATATATATAGAGATGGAGTGTTACCTAAGAGCTGTGGAAGTCTAACCCCAAAGAGTAAGAGGGGTTTGAAGTGTGACCGGATGGTGTCTCCCAGGAGTGATGGCTTGCCTCATCAGAACCGTCTTCAAGATCCACCCATGCTGTGCCATATGGGACCAGGGTCGTGCAGTTGGTGGAACTCTCTCCAACCTCTTCTCTGTTCCTTGGTGAAACCGGTGTTGGAGATCCACCTTTGCAATGGTTTTCAAGCTTCTTGATCCTCTTCTTCATCTCCTTGATGCACTTTGCCATCTTGTGTATTGTTTTATCCTGGTACTTGCACCATTGTTGGAGAACACCGATCTTTTGTTGAGCTCTAAACCCTGAAGTGCCTGGCTCCTCCCAGTTGTAATCATTAAACTGATATCTGTTCCCACCATAACGTTTTTGAGGTGGAGGCAGACCATCATCTCCAGCACCAGCAGCACTTGTTGTAGCATCTTCAGCGGTTGCTTTCCTTTCCTTGGAAGCTTCTACTCTGCAAGCTTTCTTGTACTTGAGAATTGGTGGATCAGTTTGGACATTGTACAGCTCTTCTTTCAGCAAGTAGAAGTGAATGTTCCTCTTTACTTGGACTGTGGTGATGGAGGGATTGGGCAGGAGAGTTTGGACTGGCTCATCAATGAAGGACTTGAAGTTGTAAACCAGCTTGGCTCCAACTCTTCCTTGAAAGAAACCGTTCTTACACAATTGAGCTTCATTAATCAGATCAAACCTTACTTTGTTCTCCTTAAACCTGTACCCCCTTGCCTTCAAGATCTTTATTACAACCCATCCATGGGCCAGCTTTGCATCCTTCTTTGTTGAACCCCAAATGCATTTTTGTAGAACATCAAAGACCTTGCTAATTGAGAGGCAAGGAAAGGTGTGTAAGCATATCCTTCATAGGGCTTCCCATCTTCATGAGTTGGCATCAACTGTTTCAGCCCCACACCAAGGAGATTCAGATCACCCTTATGAACTCTCCCAACATCAAGTTTGAAGAAGAAGCTGTGAGAGAGGAACTTGTGGACATATCTCAGCACTGGATTTCTTATCCAAGAGGACTTAGCTGCTCCAGCTGTGTACTTCCCAGAAGCTATTGATCTCCATAGAGCCTGAATATCTTCCTTTCTAAGACCAATTTGGTTGGAGTGAGGAACGTTTTTAGGTGCAGAAAACCCAGATATCTCATTCAATTCCCTGAATGGCACTCTGTAGGCCTTTCCTTTCACCGTAAATTCCATGTGTCCAAGACCATCCCCTTGAAGAATCCTTGAATTCCTTGGGTAGTACATAAAATCATCAAAAGAAGCCAAGAACTCTTGAGACTCCTCTTCATATGCGGTCTCCCTCATCTCCATGAGAGATTCAATGCCCATGTTCCCAAGCAAAGTTTTGACATCCTCATAGATGCCAATCTTCTTCAGAAAGTGTTGACCAGACTCCTTTTTCCCTCCTTTTTGCGCCTTGGACCCGGTTGTTTTCTCATTCCGCACGACCGACTCGGTGTAAACCGCGAATATGTGTTCGACTTGGGAAGTTCTCAGACCGTCCCGCATGACCAGGTCGCACACAAAACCCTCCTGTACAGTCTTGTCTCTTCTCTCATGCTGCGACCTGTCCCAACCTTCAGCTAAGCCGCATGACCCAATCGGTGTGAATTGCGAGTTAACGTGCGGCTTGGGATCCTTCGTGTCCAACTCGCATGACCAGGTCGCACAGGAACTTTCCTCGGACGATCTGAACCCTTCTCTCATGCTGCAACCTGGCCGATCCATCAACTCACTCGCACGTCCAACCCGGTGTAATTTGCGAACGTTCGTGCGACCTGATCTTCCTCGGTTTAAGTCGCACGCCCATCTTGCACCGTTTAACACTTAGACGCCACAGGTTCTTTCTCCTGGTGTGCGGCCTGGGCTGTTCTCGTACTGTCCCGCATGGCTAGGTCGGTGTAGAACGCGAGTGTTACTGCAGGCTAGTCTCTTTGCATCCGAGCCGCAGGATGATAACACCGTATTTTGACCACTTTTATGGATCGTTTGAAATACTTTTTCTATGTTTTTAATTCCTTTTAATACTTTTATTACGTTTTTCTAGTATTTGTAGTTCCAAGACTCTTTTTAAGGTAACTTAGGGAAAAGCTTAACAAAATAGATAGAAAACCAGATTTCAGCTCAGAGTTAAACCGTCAGAAGTTCACCCCTGATTGAAGGCCTTCTCACCGTCTGATCCAGCTCAAATTTGGAGACCGTAAAGATGGAAGTATCAGCTTTCCAGTGCACTTTACAGCTTGGCAATCCAACGGTTCAATCAAAAGATACGCGAAGAGCAAGATGTCTCGTAAACCAGCCGGCAAGCACTTCCACCCGCGGCCAGAAAGCGATTGGTCAGGAGCATCCTGACTGTGGCAAACCACTCATTCCCCGAGGTCAGAGCACTCCCGACCGCGGCCATCAACCTCCGAGCCCAAAAAGCCCATTTCTGAAGCCCACATTTGGAGAAACCCTAAGTGACGTCCAGAGAGGTCTTGAGCACTATAAATACATGTCTTAGGAACCCTAGATATCGCACAACTGAATTCCATCTATCATTACTTCATATTTTTATTGTTTTTGCTTTAGCTTTTAGGGAGAGAGAGATTTGTTCTCTTGAACCCTTGTTCTTTCTTTATCAATTTCGGTTTCTATTATACTTATTAATACTATGTTTTTGATTTCGTTCATTATGTCTGAGTAGTTCTATTGTTGGGATTAAGGGATTTTCGATGGGGATTTATATGTTCGATGAGGATTCCATGAGCTTTTGAGCCGAATCTTAGAACTTTTTGTTCTGAATTCGTTTTTACTGCATGAGAGTAGCATCATGAACTACAATCTGATCCAGATACTTGGTTACACGAAAGTGTTCATCAGGTATCAGATCTAGTTTGGGAGAGCAAAACAAACATAGGAGTGGAAACCTACCTATGGGCGATTTGTGAATTAGGACGAGTCGTAAACATAATGCATCTCTTCTCTTCCATGGCCAGAGTGGAAACCTACTGGTCAGGGTTGAGAGAGATAGTTGTCCATGATCACGACAGTGGCGTATTCATACGTCCGTGACTCCAGTTCAAAAAGTTTAAGCTAAGATCTTATCAATTTACTCTCTAGCAATGTTTTGAATCGTTCGTACCCCTGAGAAAACTTCCCTGAACCCCAACGCCTTCTTCCTTATTGATTTACACCGTTTTTTATTTCAAGCTTTAGTTCAATATTGTCTTTCCTTTTTAGTTCATTTTCATTTAAGCAATTTGATATCCGTTTTTTACATTTTTAGTCATTTTCGTTAAGTTTAGTTATTACGTCATTTAATTCCCGTATTCTCTTTTAATATTTCGTTTTTACATTTTAAACACACTACCAAACCCCCACAAAACCGTTTTGGTTCTAGACTTCCTTACTTTATACTTATTTCAAAGACTTTTTGCAGGAAAAGATCCTCCTTCCCAGTGGATTCGATCCCTAAGTACTACAATCGATCAGCTGTGCACTTTCGGCTATTGATTTCATTTAGGGTAAAACTTGACAACCCTCGACACATCAAGTCACCACACACCACACACCATCAAGTTTTTGGCGCCGTTGCCGGGGAAGGCACGCGTTCTCTTTTCCGCAAAACCCCGAGAAAGGTTAGTAAATCGACTCTAGAACCCCCTTTTCTGCAACTTTCCATTTTTCCGTTATTTTGTTTCCATTTCAGAAGATATGGATCCTATAAATCGAAATATACACTATGAGGAAGGTTTCTATAACACTCCTCAAGCCACCAGACGCAGAGTAGAACACCAAGTCCGAAATTTCAGCTACATGGATCGATACAGCCAGCCAAACCACCCTTACAACCGGCGCAGAGAGACTGTTCGACGCCGGGAAGATCCTTATGGCCCTTCTCCAACCTACTTCGAGCCACACGCCTATAATCCTCCACTTCAGAACCCTAGTCAGCAAGAGGACAACTTGAGGATCAGCAGACGTTTGGGATGCCTCGAAGGAATGATAAACCAGTTCCTTGATCAGCAGATTCTCACCGAGAACACCCTGCTCAAGAAAATTGATTCAATCTCTGAAGAGTTCAACAAAAAACTCGATGATATGGCCAATCATGTTCGAGTTTTGGAAGAGCAAACCCACAAGGACTCACAAACACTAGCTGGAATGATCCACCAAGTCGCAACAGAGCAGACAAGACAAGGGTATGACATCATACAAAACTCAAGTGATATTGTCGAATCAAAACAGGAGATTAAAGAAGTCAGAGAGTCCACCTCCTGGTATAGAGAGAAGACAGACGAAGTGTTGCAAGAGATCGAGCACAGGCTGAATAAACTCGAGATCAAAGCACGGGAGATTGATGCAAGAATGGAGCAAATGCCTAACATTGAGCAAATTGAGAGGTTTTCTAAGAAATCTCCAAAAGATCCTGATGAAGATGCACAACAACGCCCTGGTATGAGTTCATATGATGCTAGTCTACCCAATAAAGATGCAGGAGAAGTTTGTGTCAAGTACAAGAAGGAAGAAACGGACTTTGAGCAAGTCATATCCGGAGCCGCGGGTCCAAGCATCCTGACCGCGGCCAAGGGCACTTTTCCCGCGGTCGCGACTCCTCTGACCGCAGGAGTTGGTCGTTCAGATGCTCCTCCAGGTTTTGAGAGGAAAATAATACATCTCCTATCCCAACTTCAACCTCCAGCACCTAAAAAAGCAACTCAGGAAGAAGAAAACCAAGTTTCAGATGAAGAACCAGATTGGCATGAATCATTACCTTGTATGATGGCAAAGGAATGTGTTGAAGATTCAGCCAACTCTTCAATCCAAGAAGACCAGACGTGCAGCGAGATAAAGATGCCATACATTGATTCAATCATTGAATATGACGCTGCAGCTTTCTTTTGTGAATCATATTCTGCGTTCGAGACACCAGCCAACACCTACAGAGAAAGGCAAATTCCAATTCTCCATAAGGTCAAGACTACAGGTCAGTTTCTTATCTCTTGTTCTATTAGAGGAGAAATGTTTAAAAACGTGCTATGTGATTCTGGAGCTTGTCTTAACATGATGTCCAAGGCAATTGCTTTGAGACTTGGTATTAAACACCTGCGCAGGACTAGAGCAAAAATTAGTCTAGCTGATGATTCAAATGCAACACCTCAAGGAATATCTCATGAAATTCCTTTGAGAATAGGAGATTGCATAGTGCCTGTCGACTTCTACATTGTCGAAACGAGAGATGCAACATATCCAGTGATTTTGGGATGGTCTTTTCTAGCAACTTCCGGAGCTATAATGGACTGGCCAAACCGGAGGATTTCATTTGCTAATATCGACAAAGATGTCTTCACAGAAGCTGTCCCATACAACAGCAAAACAGGAAAACGTTCTGCAGCAGAAGAGCTTGAAGAAGAACTTTGGAGTGACGAAGAACCTGCTAAGCAAAGCAAGGAGATGTCGAAAAAGACTTGTCTCAGGACAAGGTCTTCTTCATTGGAATAAGTCACGTCCAACACCAAAAGTCGCGCTAAACGACTTAAAACAGAAGCGCTTAATGGGAGGCAACCCATTTAGGTATTGCTTTCTTTAGAATTTTTCTTTCTTTTTCTTTTGATCTTTTTCTTTTTCTTAGTTTCAGGTGTTTCTTATAAAACAAAAAAGCCAAAAAAAATCAAAAAAACCAGAAAAAACCAAAAAGAAGGATGGTACCTGACTGCTCGGCCCAGCAGGAACCAAGGAGAAGCAGGAATAGGCCGCGAAATAAGCCCCTGCGATCGCAGGTGTTCGGACAGCGGGAAACCTACCGTCGGCCGCGGTCGCGTGATCCTGACCGCGGCCAAGTGCTTGATTGCCGCGGTCGTATGGCCCCTGACCGCGGCACTTGGTCATTGACATCCAAACCCGACCCAAACCACCCCTTTCACCCCATTTCACCTCACCAATCACCCTCCACCGCATTCATCACCTTCCACCACCTTCATCACCACCTAATCACCTTCCCAAACCCCTTCAAATGAATCCGGTTCATCTCCACCAGCATCCCGGATCCAGGTAAGTTCTCTTTGTCCTTACCAATTCCATTATCTATGCATTTTTCTCATCCAATCTCGACTTGTTTCACACTGAGGACATTGTGATTTAAGTATGGGGGAGGATTTCATCCCTTTCTAACCACTTTTCTTTCATGAGTCTTGCATTTTCCTTAAAGTTTTTCAAAATCGGTTTTCAAAACAAAATACGTTTTAAAGGGAATGGTGAACATGAATCAATGATAGTTGACTGTGTGCTTTAGACTGTTCCTAGTGACTTGCTCATTCATGATTTAGGACTAGACTAGGCGGTTGCTA